TTTATGAAGTTGTGACGTTTATACAATTTTGATTTATAGTAGTTTAAAGCGTGTTTATATATATACATATCTTACGCCTAGGATATCTAGATTTTAATCGATCAGCGAGCGAGGCTTGATTTTCCGATGAGTAATTAATAAACGGAATTGTTTTTTTAAATTTACCCTGAAAATCATGTTAATTGTGGGACAATATAGTATCTAGGCAAATTTTATTGTGCACTACAATAAATTTTACTGTATTTTACTACTGTAAAATTTATTGTAGTGCACAGTAAAATTTTCCTAAATACTATATTGTTCCACAATTAACATGATTTGCAGGGTAAATTAAAAAAAAAATTCTCTCCGTGTACTAAATTTTTCTCGAAAGCAATATTTTAGAATGTATAAGCCCTAATAAATTATGGGTATATTTTATTATAAAATATAATTTACTATAGGGCTACATTCCAAAACATTATTTTCGAGAAAAACTAAAAAGCTGTAGTTTATGTTACAGCTTTTTAATAAAAATTTCCTCGAAAGCAACATTTTGGAATGTATAGCTTAAAATTATATACTTATATATAGCATGTATTATAATAAAAATATTTGCAAGTACTAATAAATATACTTATTAGTACTTGTATGTACTTTATTACTGTTTCTCTTCGTTTGCGGTGTTGCACATCTCGTAGATGCAAATGTGCTTTATAATTTATACGCTCGTATGCTTCTTATAGGTAACGTAAACAAGAGCCGCCTTTTTGAGTGATGTACGAGTTACATTTGCACAAGGAACATCGTGCTTCCATCTTGAGTGCTCCTCCTGACTGTGGGCCTGATCGCTGTCAGTCATCCCAATTCCGATTTATTGTCTCTTGGAGGTCACTTGACGTGGGATGAAGCGAGACCATCGTTTTTTTTCTGTGAATAAAAAGAAACGTATGAAATCAATGTCTTTTCTACGTAAATCTTACATTCTATCGGTTAATTTTGTAAACAAATGTTTTTAATGTTGAATTTTTATATAAAATGTTAACATGTATTTGCAAAAATAAAGCTATTTATTCTATTAATATTGATAGACTATACACGATGATTTTAATAAGTTATACGAGTTACAAATCTTTTCAGGTTCTTACAGCAAGTTCAGGCAGAAACGAATTAATTTTATTCCAGTGTTAAGATTATTAAATGTGAAAGGATTTAAGTACAAAAACATGGTAGATATACATATTGAAATTCTCTCTCCCTTCCTCTACATTAATATCGATCTACGACAAAGCCACTGTGATAAGGTATTTATGACAAGGATATTCACGAAATTGGAAATTTCTTCTGGTTATCGGACGGATCGGCGATTTATAATATTAATTTGTAAGTTATGAAAAGGTTTGATTAATCAATTAAGATAAATTAATGATAATCGAAAACGTTTCAATTGATCGTTATTTGCTTATTTTACTTCGTAAAGCTTTCTAAAAATATATTGTTGAGACGTATGATAAATCTTTAATTTATTTCAACAATATATATATATATATTTATTATGTTGTTTAATGTATTCAGTTATTTTGTTCTGTAAGTAAATCTTATTTCAGTCTTGTTATTTATTTTTTAAAGAAAAAGCCCATTTCTAAATACATTTTGGCATAAGAAAGATGGAATCAGATAATCTATTCAAAATAGAAATTTAAGAAAAAGAATTTTAAGAAAAAGAAATCTGACAATGAAATCAATTTACATAAACTTAGATCCTGTTATATGTTGTTTCGATAGAAGAAGCTTTGTATGTAAAGTGATACATTATTATGAAGGGAAAATTTTATGCTAATTTCAAGTATTTTTTTTGCTAATAAATTAGTATCTTATTGCAAACAATAAGTGCGGTAAACGTTAAAAATCTATATTTAAATAAAAATTGTAAGTTAAATTTTTTATTTGATATTGAAGTACTGCTCTTCTTTGCACTCACCGCGCACTGTTTCGTTGACGACACGAGTAAAAAAGTTTCTTATGCGATATTGAAACCATTTTTACGGTCAAAGTTCAAGCTAGTCAAGACATTTATTAATGATCATCTTAATCGATGAAGATGGTGTAGTGAAAATTAAAATATTAAAATTATCTTGGTAGAAGGAACGAGGCAAAAACGTTTATTAAAATATAAAATTCATATTTAAATTGATAAAGTTTATACGTTTAATCTCTACACGTTTAAAATAAATCCCTTAATCGCACGCACATGTGACATTGAAGCCCAATATAAATGATCAATTTATACGATAAATTAATATAATAAATTAATAATTTATATGGAGGCCCCACGTCAAAAGAAACATTCTGATCTTTGTACGAGTTTGGGGGTCGAGCACGTGTTCGTTTCGCGCATGCGCATAAAATTCCGTCTTCGAGTGACTATCGGATCTGCCATCTCCCTCTGGCGACAGTCGCACGATGAGCGCGTCTGTCAAGAGTTGTTACATACGTAGCCTGGAGGGAACTGCTCCAACGAACGTCTATTTGCCGGACAACACTGCAATTTTTGTAGGACGCTCGCCGGAAACCGGCATCACAGACGTGAAATGCTCGCGGCAACAAGGTCGTGTAATCCTCTGAGAGTCCCCATGCCCCCTCGCCCCGCGTCGTTTTTTTGAAAATCGTTGACAAGAATTCACTTGAATACGTGACACTTGAACTTTATCTTCGCTTTACGTGAAAGAAAATTACATTGTCAGATTGTGCATAAGAATATTGAAAGATTTACTTTTCATGCTGACTTGATCTTTCAGAAGACTCCGAGTCCACTTTAGAGGTTAAGTTCAATTTCTCAATGTATTCATTATATGTACTCAATTGCAATACATTCGATGTACTCGATGTAGTATACTCGAATATATTCAATGTAGTCGATATATAATTCAAATAGTTGTTCAAAATATTAATAAGAATTAAATTAAACATTGGAAGACATGTAGTTTGCAAGAGGTTAGAATCAAGATTTTTTAAATTAACACTATGAGGGCAAAAAAATTATAGCAGAAACAGTTTTAGTCGAAATACAGAACAATCGAAACAGTGATAGAATAATGATAATGATATAACAATTAATTTTTTGCAGTATAATGAATAGTTTTTTGCCTGAAACCTTGCCTCAGTTAGTCTTATAAAGAATTCAAATAAATACTCCATGAAAGAAAACATGAAAGAAACATAAAAGACTCTTAAAGATTTAAATGTGCGATGGAAGGAATTGAAGGAGAGTTTGAGGAAATTTGAAAATTATTTGGCCTCCTTTTATTTTCAAGTTCTTGGCACAAACAAATACACTAATCTGTTTTCAACAGTTCGTCTATTTGCCAACTATGAGGAGGCTATCGTCACAGTTCAGCAGATTGGCCCGCACGCCTGTGGCTTTAATGGCTTCAAAACTCGGAAGGGTGTAAAATTTGTGGCCCGACACAATGATCGCTTGGAGCTGCTGTACGGCAAGCACGTTTATGAGATCGAGTTCAATCCACCGCCAAGCGTGGAACACTTTTCCTCGAGGAAGCGATCGTACGACTCGGAGTCGGAGGAAACCGAAAGCAGAGCGAAAATGTCGAAACTGGATAATTTCTCTGACGATCGCTCCGAAGAATATGACGGAGAAGAGGAAGAGAGATTACCTTCGAATGGTGTACACAGCAAACAGAAAACATTCAGCCCTGCCTCTTCTAGCACATCCTCTGAGCAGAGCAATGAAAGTACCTCTGCAAAGTGGGCCAGTGTTGATAATGGAAAATTGTTGATTTATAATTCCCCATCTGTTCAAAATCGAGAAAAGGTAGTTTCAATTGTCACATACGTTTAATTATACATTTTATTTAATATATAATTAAGTAATATTATAGTTTAAAAAAATATAACACGCATTGAATTTTTCTCAGCTGTATTTGTATACATTTTTAAATAAGATTTTTATGAACACTAAGTTTAAAAATAAATCTTGCTTTTAGGTGGCTGCGTATGATATGGATGGTACTTTAATAAAAACTAAATCTGGCTTGGTGTTTCCAAAGGACTGTAACGATTGGCAGTTGCTATATCCTGATGTGCCCGGTAAATTGAAGCAGTTTCATGCGAACGGATACAAAATAGTGATCTTCACGAATCAAGCAGGCCTCAGTGTTGGCAAATTCAAGATCAGCGATTTCAAGAGCAAGATCGAAAAAATTGTACAGAAAATCGGCGCCCCCATTCAAGTATGATATAATCATAATTAGAATTTTCACTATATAAATTACAGTTTCACTTATATTTGCATCATACTTTCTAGGTTTTTATTGCTGTGGGAAGGAGCGTTTATAGAAAGCCATCCATTGGTATGTGGGAATTACTGGAAAAAGAGGTACATAACAAATAATTTTAAATATACAAAATAATATTAAATATATAGAACGTCCAAAGTATCTACAAAGAATAGCAAAATATATAAAAGTCAAAGAAGTTTTTCTTTTTTATGTGTATATTAAACAACTTATATATATCTTTTGGAATTTCTTTCATAAAGTATACTAATTTTCCACTGTCAATTTAATTCGTACTTTATTCAGATATAAATAATTCTGATTCTGTAAGTTCTTTATAAACGTATTAGTTAATTATAAATATTTTATAAATATTTATTTGATTTCTCAATTGTCTGATTTCTATTTGTAATAATTCCGCGTTTATGTAATTGCAGAAGAACGGAGGCATTACTATTGACAAGGCTAATTCATTTTACGTTGGTGACGCCGCTGGTCGGCCAAAGAACTGGGCCTCAGGAAAGAAGAAAGATCATTCGAGTGCGGATCGATTAATGGCTTTGAATTTGGAGATCAAATTCGAGACGCCTGAGGAACACTTTTTAAAACACAAAACTCCGCCTTACGAGTTACCCAAGTTTAATCCGAAAAGTCTGTCGCAATCTGATGACATATGCAATCCTGCTGACGCGGAATTAACACTAAAACAACAAGAGGTAAACGATAATAACGAGCTTATTTGCTAAGCTTTGCATTTAAAATGATTTTTTTTGAAAATTAAATATTGAGCGAAAGAGAGAGAGAGAGAGAGAGAGAGAGAGAGAGATTTTAAGATTTAATAAAATTAATAAAAATTTTTTACATATACATATCTTATTTTTTTCGCAGATAGTACTTATGGTCGGCAGCCCAGCCTCCGGAAAATCGCATTTTGCAAAGAATTATCTAAAGGAATACGGATACGTCAATAGAGACACTTTAGGCAGCTGGCAGAAGTGCACTGCCGCAGTTCAGCAATACTTGAATCAGGAAAAAAGCGTAGTTATAGATAATACCAATCCCGATCCAGCATCGAGAAAGAGATACATAGAGGTAGCCAAGAAGTACAATGTCCCGGTCAGATGTTTCGTCATGACGACAAGTGTAGAGCATGCGAAACATAATAATAAGGTAATTAAACATGTTAACTACCGTCGTATGAGGAGATATTCGGAAAACTTCAATTGAATTATCGCATTACAGTTTCGCGAACTGACGGATCCAAGTCATGTTCCAATCAACGAGATGATTATAAACTCTTACATGTAAGTGAAATTTAGATATGTACTTGCATGCATTTTCCTAAAATCTCATATTATGATCATATTTTTGGGCTTTTTTTTATTAGGACATAGAATTCTTTGTCTAGTCGTTATCAAACTATTAAAACTTAAATAGACGAAAGTCACGAGTAGATAAGCCATTTTAATCTTTGGAATAAGAAAATATTTCGTGTAAATCGACACAACAAACACGATTCTAACGTCGTTATTTACAATATATAATATTTGGTAACTCAAATTCAATTTTAAATTACTTTCGTGTTCTGTGTGCAGGAAAAATTATGTGCCGCCAACTTTGAAGGAAGGCCTTAAGGAAATAGTGAAAATCAATTTTGTTCCGAATTTCCGTAACGAACAGGATCGAAGGCTTTATGAGATGTATTTACTCGAGAATTAAATTTTAGATTATTTAAACAAATAAATTCTGCATGTCAGGGATGTGTTCACACGGGTTACTCTGTGTCGCCCATATAAACTGGTCCGTTTCTCTGTAACGCCACGAAGTGGTCCTGTGCGAGCGGATCGACACTTTTTTGTACTACAAAATGACTCGTGTGAACGCGCTCTAAATTGAAATCCGTCGGCGCATTAATCTATTTTTAATATAATATAACGTTAGCAATAAACAATAATTATAATTTAGTTAATAATAAAAATATTTATTAGATCATCCATTGCACAAATCTATTTCAACTATTTAATCTAATATTTATTTTGATACAGCGGGTGTCGCAGAATTCGTAGAAAGTGAATTATTTTATACGACTCTTCAAATTTCGAAGATTTTAACTAAGAAATATTAAAAAATCCTTCAAAAGACAATTATTTACTTCCGTGAAAAATTCTTTATTTTGAACAGTTTGAAAATAATTAAAATTTGAAATTTTTTTAGTTTAAATTTCAAGGACTTCACGTAAGTTTTTTTATTTCTGCCAGGTTTGAGACACCCTGTTTAATTCTACATTTCTGTGAACAGATTGTAAATTTGTGAATTACAGAGTTCGGTGTTTCTATTCGATACTACTGTGTTTGATATCGTTTCAGATGTAAGAGAAGCCTTAATGTCTCTGCTGTGACCATGACCTTCCTAACTATTAAAATTCGAAATATAACAGCACAATGTGTCAGAAGCTGTTACAAATTGCACAAGCTGCTGATAAGATTAAATTGGCAAGAGCACATTAGGAGAGAGGAGCAGTCTTGAATTTTGCATTCCACGAAGGTCACGGATTTTTTTTTTAGCCGAGAACAACAGAGACACTTCTCGCGAAGCCGGTAGCCTCAATAGAGGGTTCTTCCCCTTCCAGATTTTTCAGTTGCTTTTCATTGTTGGGCATCCCCTAGCTCGTCGGCCCCGAGCGCTTGCGTGCCACGTGATGTAACGAGAACGGCGCGACGGTCAATGCGGGCTCAGTGCCCGCGCAGACGTCGTCCCGGTTAGTCGTCTTCCCCCGCTGTTTCATTTGCCTTGTGTACGCGTGTGTATGCGTGCGAGCGTGTGCGTGATGAATTTGTGAGCAGGAGCAAGGTGAAAACTCCCGATCACGTGTGTGACGAAGAAAGGATCATCAAGTGAGTAACAACACACAGTTTAAACGGGGAGCTCGACCGGTCGAACAACATCTGCGGTACTTGAGAATGACGCGACAGATCAGTCTACGATCAATTCTTGATCTGTAGTGGAGTCTGCCGAAAATAGTTCTGTCATTTCTTGTCGTACCGCGGCACTTTTCTTCTCTATGAATCGCGGAGTAATGATTCATAACGTGGACCGTTATTATGCATAATAAATATGCATAATAAGCATATAAACCGTTTTTTATAATAATCCTCCATAAATCTTAATTGTATAAAATTTATATAAATTTAGTTATTTTGATTTTTATAATATCTGCAGTCCACGTATATTTATCTCTGTAGATGAAATTATCTCCTTTTAAAAACGAGTTTCAATAAGAAGCAGATATATATATATATATATATATATATATATTTACCAGAAGATTTTTGAGTTTACAATTTGTTAAAGTTTCTCAACACGCGTTAGATGTCGATCTTTTTTCTCTAAATACTTTTTTTTCGCAATCTTCGGTACTCTTGAATCTTGATGCGATTATAATTATGATGCGAAAATAAATGAGGGATGAAAGATAGAACCGGTAATTTTCAAAGTATACTTTGATTTTGTTTTTATTACTGCTACAGTTCCGGAGAAATCCGCTTCAAATTTTTTTTCAGAAAATTATGTCCTCAAGAGAGAAAGTGCTTGATGCATATTATTTATATTTATTAGTTTCTACATCACGTAACTGAAATACAAAAAATTTTTTTTACAAAATGAAGTGACTAATTTTATTGTCACTGATTAATATTACGCTATACAATTGTTTCTTTTATATTATTACACGGAAAAAACAATTTTGCTGAATCCAGATCTGAAAATAATTTTTGCTCAATAATCAAAATAATTTTATACGAAAATCAAAATGATGCTAGAATATCAAAACGTTTTATAGCGATGCTTATCAGTTTTAACATTCCAGCAAATTATTTTGATGATTCAACAAAAAGTTATTTTCAGATCTGTATTTAGCTAAATTTTTAGACCTCTTAACATAATCGTTCTTTCCGTGTACTAATATTATTATTAATATTAATATTACTACTATTACTATTAATATTACTGCTATTGCTGTTGTTACTGCTACTATATATGAATATCGCAGATGTGCTATGCTTAAAACACCCGGTATATTAATTACACTCGTATACGCGCAATCGTTATTCGAGCGTAACTCGTCTCTGCTGAATATCTTCCGTTCCTCGTGCAATTCACGTCACAGCAGGATTGCGTCACAAGTCAAGTCACTTCGCGAATGATACTCACCCTCGTCACGATGCGTTTTGAACGCGTCACCGTTCACTGAGTGTCTCAAAATACCCCGCGCGATGCACGCCAACATCATCGGGAATAATGAATGCTCGTATTGTTGATATCGAGCTTCTTTGGCATCTTTAACACTTCGTAACATTAAATGCTTAACACGAAGACACTTAGATATTTTGATTTGAATAATGTAATTCAAGTTTAAATGTGTCTTCGAGTTGTAAGGACTTTCGACCGTGATGACTCGTCATTTAATAGAACGTTTAAAAAAACGAGGAAATCAAAATGAAGAATGAAGATTATAAAGAGTAAATAAACTGTGAAGAATTAAACCAAAGAAAAAGTGAAGAAAAATTTTAAATTGAAAAAATACCCTTGCGTATTTAAAGATATAATTACATAAATAAACCACACGAGAAAGTAAATTAAATTATTTTTACTTTTTAATATTTAAATAACACTCGATAATGTAATTTAACATCCTTGACACGATTAACGTTGTGAAAGCTATTTAAAAAAAATCAGGAAAGAAAAACAATGTTTAATCAAACTGTTTGCTTTACAAATTACTGTACGCACGTGTTCATAAATAATATTTAATTGCAATGGAAATTTCCTTTAATACACTTCGCGCAAAAGATATTCTTCCTTTGTAAACAGCTATCCATTTAGCGGCTATGAAAGGAAGTGATGGAGAAAAGATTCGGGGAAACAAATCTTAATTTAGCTCTCTTTTTCTTTATCTTTATTTTAGGATACAAAAATAGACATTTGCAGGTGTTCGTGAAAGATATTTTTGTACATTTGATGTCAAGAATACTTTGTCACGTGAATTGCAATTTATTTTAAAATACTCATAACATATATTTAAATAATATAAAAATAATATTTTTTATATTATTTCTTTTGTTTTTTAAATACAAATTTAAAATTTAGTTACATAGACGTGTTTTTTTAATCACTTCTGTTACTGTGCTTAATTCTTTCTCGATTTAATAAATGTATGCAAAAATTTTAAATCTTTTCATACGTTTTTACTTTAGATTTATAACAACATTTGTGCAATACTTAAACATTAAACTATTTGTCTTTGTTTTTGTGACTTTCTGCCATCACACGAGTAAATTTCGGACTTCTTTGCGAAAAAAATTTTTGTTTTAGTTACATCTCGAAAGTGCTTATGAGTTAATTTAAAAAATGCCGCATCATAATAAGTAATGATAACTTGAAGGCCAAAAGTCTATAAATGTAAATGTTTGGATTCGTAACAATTCGAGATTTCCGTCTATAAAATCTTTCCTCAGAAACTCTTGAATAAACGTTCCTAATTCTTAAAAATAAAAATCTCTATATTTTATGGAGTGAAATATTAAAATGCTATAAAAGCTAAAAAAAGATGCATTTTCGAGATATATATTCAACTCTCGACTCTCGAAAAAAGTACGAGATTTACAACTCTCAGAAACGTGTTTGGATTTGTAATGACTCGAGATTTTCGTTGCATATTCGCTTTTAGCCTTCTAAAACGCGTTGACCTTCACACATTGGTTTCGCACATATGATCGTTTCTAAATGCCGATAAGCTGATACAGAGCTGTTTGCTGTGCGTAGCGCATATCGCGCGGTTCCCATCCGAGCTGGCCTATCCGACCATATACTATGCATACAATTCCTTTCCACGATTTGAATTCTCGGAACTTTTTCCTGGATTCTCCCGAGTCTTATCTTGTTAGATACTGAAAGTCATTCATTCAGAATTAGATTGTCTCGATTCTCGAAAACCCACGTCGATTGCGAGTGACAGTGTCAAAAGAAGTTTTTGAAAAAGTTTTCTTTGACTTCTTTTATAAATTTCATATTCTCACATTCGAATTTTCCGATTCTTCTTCTTTCAGTAAAAGTCGCTTCTCGTTGCGTTTCGTATTTTTTTAAGATCTTCTATGTATATGAACGATTGCTTCAAAATCTCATTTACTTTGAAATATAAAGAATTCGATAACAATCTATGCTCGTTCAACCTTTACACGTGCCGTTTGCATTTAAAGGGTATTTCAACACTGGCTGAACATTCAAATATACAAGCGTCATATATGAAAGATGGTTTCCCGAAAAGTCCCGGATCTTACGTTGCTCTCCCAAAACACCGGGAAAAATCGCGAGTTTTTTCCATTCCAGAGACTCGCTCGTTCAGCTGCGCGAAGCGCAATGAGTCATGATCAGACAGTGTGTATGTGTATGTTTTAGTAAAGATTACGTATCACGCGCCGCTGAACAATTGACCCGACGATGTCTCACGAGTTAGGCTTCACTGAAGTTATTTAACACACAACGCGCCTTTGTCTCGATGCATTTAATTATCTCTTAATTGGTTTTTCAGCGATGTCGCGATACGGAACGCATTCGATTCTAATAGTGATACAATCGAGAGGTCATATTTTTATTGCTTTAATACTGAAGTACATTCAAATGATAAGATTTTGAGTAATTAATGAAATGATTGAAACAATATCGACTACAATGGAGTTGATAAATACATAAATATAAGATAATAATAATTGAAGATAACTTGATTATTTTTAAAGTAATCAATTAATTTTTATTTTATGTTATATTTATGTCATAAATATAAAACTGTTAAATAAGCAGAAATTAATTTTGCCCTCTTTAGTTTAATAATATCCAGTGATAAATTAAATATTAAATATTAAATTAGCATATTTTTTATTTAGTTTATTTAGATTTGAAAGGTCTTAAATTTGTTTTAGATAAATATCTGCCATGTCGTACACATGTCCAACATTTCTCTTATTTACGCTATGCCATGTTTATTTATGTTCCGTTTTAACACTCAAGTAGTGTGAAATAACATTTACATGTTTTAAACGGTTCGTTCAAATCGAACGGTTTATTTCGACGTTGAAGCAATTTCGTCGACGTATACTTACAACTTTCAACGCCGTTCTGTCCATACATACAGTTTTCGATGTTTTCTTTGATGGCCAGAAGAAATGTACGACATTCACGGGCTTGTTTATGCGCCACTTTCTCATCCGAGAACGGTCGATGTTTTATTGACGAACCTCATTGATCCTCTCGCATCATAATTTTAATCGCCTATTTCAGGAATATCCGTGTATCCATTTTTTCAATCGTATCCATAACAATAATCGCCGCGGACCCCTGCGAATCTTTTAAAATTGTATAATTGTGTTTAAGTCCACGGGGATTCCCGAGAGGAAGGATTCCCCGGGGAGGATTCGCCTGGTTACGGCTCTGCCCGGTGAATGATTCCGCGACATGCCGCGTGAACGGTTCTGCGAGCCGCGGTTCTATTGCGGAAACGGCCGCGCATTATATAACTCCGTTACTACTCCGCGCCCGCGCGGCCGCCAATTACTCTTTCTTTAACCATTGATCTAACATACAGCTCAGCTCGACATACATATATATATACACATATACGTGTGCCGTTGTCATGCGTTCTTCCGCGGACTCCGCTCAAGTTCGGCTGCGTTTAGTGCTCCTACTTCTAGATTAATTCCCACAAGCTGTGTTCTATGTATGGGATAACATGGATGCTTTGGATTTTAGTGGCGATGGTGACGATGATATCAGGCTGATATACTTATTTTTCAGTATCTTCAGTGAAGAAATGAAGAAACATAAATCATGCTCATGTACTTTTGACTCTCGCACTATATCTTCATTAGATCGTCATCATAAGCATCATTATAACTATTAAATTACAACTTAACTGTGCCGTCTCTTCTTTTAACAATATATTTAAATATACATTATTATGTAATTATTATGATGTAAAGTGTGCAATACATATATATACCACATCCGAAGATACATTCGCGCTGCACTGATGGCGCGACCTGTGTACATTATACGTGGTGATCATTCCCGCTATTTGGATCACGCGGGCAAAAATTGGCTGGGAACCCCGCATTATTCACGATCAACACAGACGCTTATCAGGCAGCGAGACTCCGTATTAAAAATGTATATCGAGGAAACTTTTTGCCATTTTGCCTTGACACACGCGTTAATCGGATTTGCATAACGCGTATTGTGACTCGTGTGTGGCAAGTTACAACATTTCACGCGTTTAAACGAAACGACAACGGCTCTTTGTAATCGCGATTGTTTGTCAATACATATACATATGTTGATTGAAATGTTTAGGATGCGTCACAGTATCTTTTTCTTACTTACAGTCTTTCTCTTACTTTTTTTTTACTACGTTTTCTAATTTTTTTTTCATTATACTTCGCTCACTGCTCGCAGCAAAACGACTCATATCTTGAAGTACATAAATTCTTATCGGCGAAGTGTTTATTCGTCATATTATCGTTACGGTTTTGCACGTGGAAAAAAAATGATATGAGACATTCAAAAGTAATGCCAGAGTAAAGCATATACAAAGTCCTTGGCTCACAATCAGCCTTGCATTTATTTCGAATTTATTCCTCGTATCTTTAATATTTTCAGTACATCGCCCATGACATAGGAATTCTCAATTCATCAATTGCACGTTGAAGGAAAAAGTTTATCGCACTAATTACAGATGATCGCCGTTTTAAATAATTACGTTTTAATTACGTCGAATTATACCTCAAATAAAAATAAAAATAATTAACGATATAACGAGAATCGAGAACCTACTTCGTAGGTGGTCTGCAATTCGCGTTAGAGGTCAGACTAGAATTCTAATTATTATTTTGCAATTTTACATGTATAAGATAAAAAATATTTAAACAATTAAAATATAAACGTGCTTAAAATATACATATATTAAAGTATATATATGAGAATATAAAACTAAATGTACATATATGTATATTAAATTTAATTTAAATACACAAGTAATGATACACGAATACAATATAAAATATATATTAAAATTCAAGCACACCTTGAAATGTACAGTTGATAAAGTTTTACATAAATAGAATTTTAATTTAAAAATTCTGACGGACGTACTATAAACGGCAATGCCAAGGCAGACATTCTGATATTTGCACTTTTTATCTATGTTGGCTTTATTTTTCTATGCTTAATTGTTCGAGTCGAATTGCTCTCTGCAATAACCTTCAGGTCACGCGGGAAGCCTTATCATCCCACTATCACGCTGTGCATATCATATTCTTGAAAAACACCTTAAGAGAACGTGATACTCTTAGTAGTGAACAAAAGATGTTTCATCAGCCACTGCCTTCGATCGGTAGAATTTGAATTATGCAGAAATATTAGAAATATTCCTGTAAATTACTTTGAATTAAGATTCTCGGCATTATATGTACCAAATGCATTCCTATAGTCGATATTACATATATTTTATAAAAGTGTATTTATTTTACACAGTGACATATTGTATATTTTTTATTTATAAACATTTTTTATCTTAATTTTCAATTATCTTCGCGCTTGCCGACGCCTCGGTGAAACAACCGTTACTTCGCTTTTCGTTTCGGTTCAGCTAGACCTGTGAATTTACACATTAAGTCCGAGCAAGATCAGATTCAGACATTAGTCACTCTAACTGACTCTACACAAGTATTATAAAATAAAAGAAGTAGATACTAAGTTCTAGGTCAAAGGCAGTCCACAATGATAGTTAAAAATTCTGGTTTCCTCCGGTAAACCCTTAAAATTCCTTCGTCATTATATAACAGAATAAAACAGAGCTCCGTAAATTGAAATCCATAAAATCAGAGAGACAAGTATTTCGCGCTGCCTTTTAAAGCAGCTTAATTAAGAAAGCAATAAAGCTGCTTTTCGTTGCCCTCTTAATCTTTTTAGCATTGCATGCGCGAACATTAAAAAAAATTAAATTGCACAAATGTACTAAGTTGGAAAATTTAATTGCACGTGAAAATACTCCGGGACAATTTCGTGTGGGAGATATTAAAGAGTTTTTTATTTAAATATATTTCCGGGAGATAATAAAGTAATTTCCCAAGATTAGTTTAATTACGACAATTAAACGAGGATACTTTAATTAATGATAATTAAAGATAATGACAAAACGTAACATTATCTTTATAGATATTTTATTGACGCTATTATTTCACACTCAAGATCATAGATCAACTTCGGTCAGCGACCGATAAACTCTGTATTTTCCTCGCGTGTTAAATGGTTTTCCCTATAAAGCGATACTGTTTAACAAAATATCTACTTTTATTTCCGCATGAGGAAATTTCCGCATAAATCTGGAAGAGCTTTGATAACGATGCTTTTGTACAGTATGTTACTAAATGAATCGTCCATTGAAATAATTATTAAATCTTGATTTTGATTAACGCATAATAAAATATTACATGCCTTCTGACTTACTTTTTAAATAATATAATAGATTGTACAATCATATTATATCGTACGTTATGCTATATCACATTTTTAATTTTTTAATTTAATTAACCTTTTAATTTTTTTAAATTTTAATTTGATGTTTGAAATTTTCCAATTTCTCTTCTTTTCTTCTTCTTTTTCTCTTCCTCTCTTTCTCCTCTGTCTCTCTCTTCCTTTCTGTTTCTTTTTCTTTCTCTTGTCCTTTCTCATTGAATTTGTGACTCTACTCTCTAAATTTTCTGGAGTGAGATTCACTCCAAAAGAGTGAAAAGTCACTTCAGAAAATTTAGAGAGTAATATTCTCCAATTTTCAATTTCCAAATTCTTTTTATTTTTTATTCTAATTTTGATTTTGTCATATTTGCCCATGCAGAAATGATCGTTCGACATTTATGAACATCAATTCGACATCAAATCGATGTCTATAGACATGAGCATTGCCTAGGTCTAAGTTTTTATATTTGAAACTTGATCTCGATTCTGTTTTTTTTTTTTCAATTTTATCTTAACTAGAAACAAGGAGATAATCGATTGACGGTGATTTAATCGCTATGTTAACTTCATTATTTCGACAAATGGTTGTAGCACGTGTAATGTCGTGATTGTACGACCTTCTCTGTGTTATTTGAAAAGTGACACAGCAGACAAATAAATTACGTGTAGCCAGATAAGGCCGGAACGGTGGAGGCAAATAATACAGACTCCTTCTCTTCAAACGCAGATTTACCAAACGCGTACCCGAAGAATCACTTAATTATTTGGATCCTGGATCGACAAGTTGATCGTCCTCGTTTCGCTGGAGCGGGCCTATAATCGTCAGTGGTCACTAACGCGCACACGTGTTTCTTTCTACCGCGACAATAACAGACGGAACTACAAAAAGACCATTTTTTTATACCAGAGGAAAAGTGACAACTTAGCAGAGGAAAAGAGAACAACTCAGTAAGTCGTAATATTATCTCCAAAGTTATTGCTGAAAATCAAAGGAATTGTTACCTATAACCGCATTATTATTTGTATTAAAAATAATTATTATCAAATAATAGTAGCATGACTTCAATTACAATCATGTAATTGATCTTTAAAAGATACACTAATCGTTACTTGTAAAAATCGTTAGATTCACGTACGGCTGAAGACTGGAGGGAGACACTCGAAGAGATAAATCTCGAGAACACCGACAGGTGTTTGCACGAGTATCGATGATTGATATCTTACTCCGCCCTCAAGAGTACTTCTCATTGAGAATTCGCATTGAGAATTCGCGATAAGATTAGCATCGATCGTTCGCGGGAGGTGGCGATATTTGCAAACAGTTGATACGGGATATGTGAAGTGTCAATTTCAATCTGATTTACGATCACATGAGGAGATCGCCGATTATACCGGGTGGCTGACAAATCTACATGCGTTCAGAGAAGAATCTTCACATTGTTAACAATTTGTGACAATCGAGGAGAGGATTCTGAAAATTATTACAATAGTGAAGGAATTCTTCTTTCGTTTGCGCGAAAATAAAGGAGCGATTATTCGACGCAAAAGCGTCGGAGTGTGAAATCGTTGATTAACCCGATAAATTAATTGAGTGCTTTTTAACCGTCGAAGTGGCAGCTCGCGACGAGTTAATGCCGCGTATAAGGACCGATGGATTCAACGAAGATCAAATCGAA